AATTGGGGTGGGCTGGGAAAGCCTCTGAGGTCCCTTCCAGCTCTGGAATTATGGTCCCATAATCCTATAATGATTCCCTTAAAGGGACAGGGACTGGACCTCTGATTTCATTAGTGGAGGGAGTTCTCAACCGAGGAGATGACTTCTGCCAGTGCAGGTGGCGAGTTCAAGCCCAGTGAGGTGACAGGACCTCCCAGGGTCACATAGCTAGGGTAAGACTAAGGCAGGACTTGAACTCAGGTCTTTCTGACTGAGGCCAGCTTTCTAGCCACAATTGCCTTTTTTTTTTTTCAATTTTCAGTTCCATGTTCTCTCTTCCTCCCTCCATCATCCCTCCCCTACCCATTAAGAAGGCAAGAAATACAATACATATGAAGTCATGCAAAACATATTTCCATATATGGTAGCTGTGTTTCAGAAGAAAAAAAGCAAGAAAAATAAAGAAAATTTTAGAAGTATGCTTTGTTCTGCATTCAGACTCCATCAGTTGTTTCTCTGGGTATGGATGACATTTTTCATCATGAGTCATTTGGAATTGTCTTGGGTCATTGTATTGCTGAGAATAGCTAAGGCAAGTTGATCATCGTTACAATATTGCTGTTACTATGTACACTGTTCTCCTGATTCTGCTCACTTCACTTTGCATCAGCTCATGTAAGTCATCCCAGATTTTTCTGAAACCATTCTGCTTGTCATTTCTTATAGCACAAGAGTATTCCATCACAATCCTGTGCCACAACTTGTTCAGCCATTCCCAATTGACAGGCAGTCCCCTCAATTTTCAATTCTTTGCTACCACAGAAAGAGTTGATCGACATGTTTTTGTACATATAGATCCGTTTCCTTTTATCTCTTTGAGGTACAGACCCAGTAGTGATATTGCTGAATCAAAGGGTATGCCCAGTTTTATAGCCCTTTGGGCATAGTTCCAAAGTGTTCTTAAATGGTTGGACCAGTTCACGACTCCACCAGTGATGTATTAGTGAGCCTGTTTTCCTGCACCCCTCCAGCATTTATCATTTTGCTGTTTTGTCATCTTGGCCACTCTGATAGGCATGACATGGCACTTCAGAGTTGTTGTAATGTGCATTTCTCTGATAGATAACAATTTAGTTACTGTTGCCTTTCAATAAGCACTAAGACGTTCCATAAGGTAATGACTGACACTTGAGCACGGTGGTAGCATTTGAGCTAAACCTTAAAAGGAGGAAGGGATTCCCAAAGGTGTGGGGTGAGGAGGGCGCATTGGGGACAGCTTAGCCAAGGGCCGCAGACTAGAGATTGAACGCCATGTCTAGGAAGTAAAGTAAGAATAGAAAATGTCCTCGGTCTTTATTTTCTCTCTTTCATCCCAGGGGCCAAGCAAAGCAAGTCTAATTCTCTTTCATGTGAAACTGTGCACATTATTGAAGGCTAGTTTCATCTCCCCTAAGTCTTCTCCTCTTCAGGCTAAACAGTCTAATTTTTTCACCCAGTGTCTCCAGGGCAGGATTTGCAGCTCCCCCCGCCCCCAGCCTGGTTGTCCTCCTCTCCCAGCTTGTCCGATGGCCTTCTCAGACTGTAAGTCCCAGAATTGTACCCAGGCCTCCCAGGCAGCCTTAGCAAGGCAGAGAGCAGAGGGACTCCCATCGTCCTCCTTCTGGGCCTTGTGATTCTGTTAATGGAGTTCAAAGTCACATCCACCTTACCCTGGGAACTCATATTGAGCTTGGAATCCACTGAAAACCCTGGGTGCCTTTAACAAGGACCGCCCCACCCCCATTCTGTGCTGCTGCTGCTGCTGCTGCTGACTTGGGATTTATTTGGGGTTGTTTTTTGAATTGGACATTTTTTTATTCTGAACTTTACAAATACTAAATAAAATAGATGTTTCCACATATGTGTGTATACATCTGTGAGTGCTGAGTCGGACTTTACATTTATCCCTTTTAATTTCCAGTTCTTTACATTTGGCTCATCTTTTCAATGTGTCAGGATCTTCTCAGATCTTTTCAGATCTTCAGCTTAGCTAGTCTCTCCAAGATTGATGCCATCTGTGTCTTCCCCTGAGACACTCCCTGGGTCAGTGCCTTTCTTCTTGATTTGGGCAGCCAGGCTGGCAGTGGCTGGAGTGCTGGACTTGGAATCAGTGAGACTTGAGTCTTTCTCAAACACTGATCTCAGTTGATCCTCATAGTAACTTTGGGAGGTAGGTGCTCATGTATCCCCATTTTACAGATGAAGAGACTGAGGCTGGCAGCGGGTAAATGGCCTTCTCGGGGTGTGTGAGGCCAGATTCCTGGCCTGGTCTTCCTGACTCTAGGCCCAGTGCTCTGTGCACGATGGTGCCACCTAGTGCTGAGGATAATAGTAGCACCCACTTCACAGGCCTGTTTTGGGAGTCCAGTGAAATAATACAGGAAATGTGATTTGTAATCCTTCAGGTGCTATGTCAGTGTTAGCTGTTATCATTTTCAGATGCCCCTTCAGTCTGCTTCCTCATCCCTAAATGGCCGTGATAACTCTGGCCAGGCCTGCAAAAATGTTAGCTGCGCTTGTTGTTAGTGAAGAGAGACAGCCTAGACAGGGCATCAGTGGGACTGGCTCTATTAGCAAGGGCACTCACTTGAAACCTGGAGTAAAGATCCCTAACCTGTCCGCCTGCGCTTCTGGCAGTGAGGGGCCCCTCCAGCCGTCAGCTGGGAGTCAGGGCCGCTTCCCTCGGTAGCCCCAACTGACAGGTGGGGAGAAGGTTTGGAACAGACCGGGATCAGCTCTCTGCACTGGGTGGAGAAAGCCCAGGCTCTTGCAGAACCTCTCATTTTCTCTCTTGTTCCAAACCAAATAACAATGAGAATCATTTTTCCTTTGGCTCATCTGCCCCCACCTCCCCTCAGCCCCTGCAGGGTTGGCTTATTCTAAATGGCCCCACCATCCCTCAGACACATTAATTACTTGATATGGAACACCTACTCCTCCCCCTCCCCCTAGCACAAATAGCAGTGATAATTGTGGTAATCATAGATTGTTAGAACTGAAAAAGACCCCAGAAATCCTGGGGTCTGGGCCCTGTAGGTAGGCATCGGGGATGCCTGGGAGTCTGGTGGGACCGTGGGGAGATCACGTCTCTTCTCCAGCACTCAGTTTCTCTGTCTGTAAAAGGAAAGGGTTTAGGTAAGACGCTTTCTAGAATGGCTTCTACCTTGAACATTTGGTGTTCCCAAGGCCCCTTTTAGTGTAGGAGGGCAAGGATGACCTCATTTTTGTCTTTACATCCACCCCTCACCCCAGCTGAACTCAGGGGAGCCAGTGACAGATATTTAATAACCTGTTTGTGAGTGGAATTAGGGGCAGTGTGGGACAGTGGTGTCAGAGAACCCCATTCAAATGCCTCCTTCAGTGCTACCATCCTTTGGGGCCTGGAGTAAGAAGAAACTTCACTTTCGTGGGCCTTGGTTTCCTCATCTATAAAATGAAGGAGTTAGGCTAGATGACTTCTAACATTTCTTCTAGCCATAGAGCCAGGGTCCCGTGAGTTAAGCCATCTTTTACTCAGGCCTTTTCCTTCCAGGCTATGCTTGAAGGTCCCCCCCCCCCCAACTTGGACATTCTCTTTTCTGTGTCCCTTCCCCTGTTCTCTGACGTTCTTGTGTTCTCTACATCCTCTTGAGACACATTGTGTTATTTGTCAGTTACTGGATAGAGGGCACCACTGGGGGCAGTGCCCGGGTGAGCAAGCTGGGCTTGGTTGTTGCTTTACCACCAATAAATAGAGAGAGCAAAAAAGACAAAGGAGGCCTAGGACAGCCCTCCGTCAGCCCAGGAGGTGTCTCACAAAGCTCTTCTTTGGCTCTCCGGGTTCCTGCGTCTATTATTTCTGTCAGAGTTTCCTGACCAGTTTGTGCCCCTGTGTGCATCAGAGCTGCTGAGAGCTTGTCCACTCTTTGGGAGGGAAGCAGTTATTGAGTCTGAACCATCTGGCTCTGAGAGATGAAGCAGGGAGCCAGCTGGGGTTAGGGGGGAGTGGAGGAGGGCTGGCGGGACCTGAGCAGGAGAGCTGTAATTAAGTGTCCTTGGCAGATGAATCTAGATTAGGTGTTTAGGGTGCTAATGGATGTCCCTGCCACTTGGGCCCAATTTCTATTTCTCTGTGACTTGGCAGAGAGGGCCAGGAGCAATTGTTCCCAGCTCTGCCTCCCTAAGACCTGGGTTCAGATCCTATGCTGTGCTCTTCAACTACCTATGACCTTAGTCTGGGGGTTCTTAACCTTTTTTATGTCAGAGATCCCAGTGGCAGTCTGGTGAAGCTCATGGACCCCTTCCAAGAATTATGTTTTTAAATTAATAAAATAAAATCCATAGCATTACAAAGCAAACCAATTACACTGAAATAGTTACCAATTACAAAAAAAAGTGTCTAGACCCCAGGTAAAGAACCTTAGACAAATCACTTAGTCTCTCCAGGCCACAGTTTCCTGATTTGTAAAGTGAAGGGGATGGACTTGAGCTCTAAGTACCATTTAATTTTTTTCCTCTTAGAAAAGGTGTTGACGCCTCTTGTTTTCACATCACCTTCATTTTAAAACATATCCCTCCCCTCCTTCCTATCCAATGAGACATCCTTTATAACAGGATAAAAAAGAAAAGAAAGGAAACCAACTCAGTGAAACTAATTTAGAGTGGAAGAGACCTTAGAGGTCATTTAGTTCCACCTCCTCATTTTACAGATGAGGAAACTGAGGCCCAGAGAGGTTTAGTGACTTGCTCAAGGTCACGCAGAGAGTGAATGGCGAAGCTGAGATTTGAGCCCAGGTCCAGAGGCAGCCATCATTCCATTGTAACCAAGTCCGATAGTGTGTGCAGTGTCCCCACCCTGGGAGGTTCGTTGTCTCGTGTTCTAAGATTCCTTTCAGCTCTAAAACCCATCGTGCCCGTGTTGCTGGATGGTTGGGACCCTGGCAGTGGTTGGATATCGGAGTTCAGAGGATCTCAGGGTAACATGTCTCCTCTCTCCCCGACAGATGTCCCTGTGGAGAAGTTGGATGCTATGCCATCCCTGAAATGTGTGAACCTCCGGCTCAACCCTCTGAATGCAGAGGTGCGCGTGATTGCCAAGCCACTCATCAAGTTCGACCTCCTGGTGTCCTCGGAAGAAGCCCAGAGTGATTCGGCACAGTAGTGGGCTCAGGCTTGGCTTGGCTGGACTGAGGATGCCAGGCGCCTGCCTCCCCTGCAGCCTCTGTGAGGGGCAGGGTGGGCTGTGGAGTCATTGCGGGAGGGGAGGCTGTGTGTAGGGGGGGGAGGGGTGGGACTGCAGCATTTACAAGATGAGTGTATTAGCGTTGTAGCTGGACCCCCAGAAGCAGGGGTGGAGGAGATGGTGCCTAGGCCGGCTTCTGAGTCTGGTGCCACCAGGGAGGGGCTGGCTCTTTGTGTCAGCCCCGCTCTCTCATGACCTCTAGCCTCATCCAGCAAAAGGGAGAATCAGCTGTTGTCAGCTTCTCCTGCCCAGCATATTGTAGGGAGCAGCTGGTGACTCCAAACCTGTGAATGGTCCTCTTGGAAGAGTCAGGGGGTGTAGTGGGAAGTGTCCGGGGGCCCTAGTTCGAATCCTCCCTCCAGCACTTCTAGCTGTGGGCCTGTGGCTGTTCCCCTGGGGCTGAAATAGTCTCCATGGGTTCCAGGCCCTGTCCCCCTCATTTAGAATGAGGGGATTTCGCTTGCCCTGCCTACCTCACTGGGCTCTTGTGAGGAACGTGCTTTGGAATCCTTTCTGCACTTCCAGAATTGGAGCCGTTAAGCCACCTTTCTCACTCTGCTGCTGGGTCTCAGTTGTATTTATTCCTCTCCTGGCCTTTCTCTAGTCTTTCTTGCTGTTCTGGGCTCATGGTGGACTCCTTCCTGCCAAAGTTCAGACACCCAGGCTAGTATGGAAGGGAAAAAAGGTGATGGGACTCCAGGCAGATCTAGTTCAACCTCTCATTTTACAGAGGAGGAAACTGAGGCCCAGACAGGGTAGTGACCGACCCATGGTCACATGGGGAGTGAGCGGCTGGGCCGTGTTCTGGGATCCTAGGCTGGGGAGCTAAAAGGTGACTCAGAACCTCAAGGAAACTGAGGCCCAGAGAGCGCACACAGATGGCGAAGCCAGGATTTGAACCAAGGACCTCCAACTCCAGAGCCACAGGAAGAAGCCCTAGGCCCCAAGAGCTGCATCTGCGCATGCCTCAGCTGCTCCCTTTTGCTTCTGCAGGTGGTGCAGGAGCAGGCCGAGGTCGAGACAGTGGTCGTCCCTGGTATCCTCCAGCCCTCAGGTTTCAGGGCTAGGAAGTGACAGCGCTGCCAGGTCAGCTGCCTCCCTGCCCCGGGACGAAGCGACGCTGGGGTCCTGGCCACCCCCGAGCCTGGCCACGGGCCCTGGGCACGTCACTGGCCCCTTCGTGGGGTTGTTGTGTACCTCAGATGAGGTCATTAGTAAGCGTCTCTTAAGTGCTTCCTGCATGCCAGCCTCTGTACATCACAGTCCCTGGCCTCGAGGACTTAACATGAGCTCTGGGGAGATAAGTACACAGAGAAGTGTATTCAAAATATATACCAAGTAGGGGCAGCTAGAGCACCAGCCCAGGAGTCAGAAGGACCTGAGTTCAAATCCGGCCTCAGACACTTGACACTTACCAGCTCACACAGATCCTGGGCAAGTCGCTTAACCCCATTGCCTAGCCCCCCCCCCCCCCAATTATACAAAGTAAATACAAGGTACTGGGAGGGGGCACAAGCAGCTGGAGGAGGGGTCAGAGAAGGCCTCATTTAGGAGGGGCATTTGAGCTGAGGAATTCTGAGAAGCTGAGGTGACCAGGGAAAACCTTCCAGGCATGGGGCACAGCCACTGCAAAGGCATGGCAGTAGGAAAAGGCATAAGTAATAAGTAGAGTGCTTCACCAACCCTGAAGCACTATATAAGGTTAGGGATTAGTCACAGCATCATCTCCACCACGATTAGATATGCTCCCACATCATTTACAGCTGCTCAGATGTGCATCCTTCCTGAGGCCGAATGTGGGCACCGAGTCAGGGTGACTAGTAACACCCCTCTGATGTGCCCCTCTCACTTCCTGGGGCAGGGTGGGAGGAGGAAGAGCCCGGGCTGCTCGGTGAATGCTTCTGGTGTGGAGAGCCTGCAGACCCCTCGAGCCCTAGCTCTAGCATGGTGACCAAGGACAAGTCACTAGCTTCTCAGAACCTCAGTATCCCCATCTGTAAAATGGAGGTCAACAAACGTACCACCTTTGAGCTTTGAAAACCTTCAAGATCTCTAGAAAGAGAAGCTCTTCAGCCCTTCAGAGCCCCCGTGGATCCAAATCCCCATGAGGCGGGGAAGGGCAGTGCTCCAGAACCCCCAACTCTTACCCTTCTTCCATCTGCTTTTCAAGTGAGTTTAGAAGTGAGGCATCCCTGAGAATTGACCTAGCATGGCCCCCAGGGGTAGTGTTAGCCCCTGTGGCTCCAGACCCCCTGGGAGGGTCACTCGAGGATCCTGGCTGTTGGTGACCATTGGCTTGGGGGCGTATCCTGGGCTCCCATGAGGAGAAGAGTGTCATGGAGTATCAGCACACACTCTCTCTGACACACTCCCACCCCACGCTCTGCATCAGCTTGTGCATTCACTTTCCCAGGCACTCATTATAGACCTACAGAAATGTGCCAGTCATCTATAATAGAGACTCTGATTGGGCTGTGGTCCTGCTGGAGACCCAAGACACAGCCCCAGCTCTCTGCAGTCCCGATCCCATGGCACATTTTTTAGGGCCTGCCAACACATTCTTTCTCTCTCTCTCCCTCCCTCCCTGCCACTATTATCCTTTGCCTTTATCCCTGAACCGCTAGACCAAAACCACAGTTCACTTGTTCCTGGGACAGTTAGAACATATATTCCCTGAGGACGGGCACTGGGTTTTGTTTTCTCTATTCTTGGTGCTTAGCACAGCATCTGGCACATAGTAAGCCCTTAATAAGTACGTACTGATTGGACTGCCTTCCAATTTCTGCCTGCATACCTTTTAATACGCCTGCCAGCCCGCCTCCTTCTACTCGGGGCCACAGCTCTTCCTCCTCCCTCCATCACCAAGGTCTAAAGTGAGGCAGAAGAGGCAGCAGATTTGGAGTCAGCAGACCCAGGTCCGAAGCCCAGCTCTGCCACTTACCTCCCATCTCTGTGACCTTGAGGGCACGCCTTGGGCTTCAGTCTACTCATCCGTAACCTGAGGGTATTGAACTTGATGCCCTCCAAGCTCTACAAATACTGTCTTCCTAACTAGCCAGGCTAACCTGAACCAAGAACACTTGTTTCTAGAGAAGTAAGTCAAGGGAACAAGCCAGGAAGAAAAGTCTGGTTCCTAGGTGAGGCCCGTAAGTGAGGGGAGCAGGGGCAGCCGGAAGGACTGTGGGGTAGGAGTGCGACAGAGGAGGGGCACCTGGGCGAGGGGTCGGTCAGTCTGGGCCAGGGCCAGATGGCTGTGCATTTCTTGGTTCAATTTCTACCCTACCTATGCTTAGAGCATAAGATTGAAAGCAAAAGGAGCTTTCAGTTTAGAGAGAGGAACTGAGGAGAGGTGACTTAGCCAAAACCACAGGGATTATTAGCTGCAGGGCAAAGTTTGAGCTGAAGTCACCATATCTACGGTTCTTTTCACAGCATCTCCAACCTTGGGTTCCAGGTAGGATATGGCATGCCCAGTTCCGTGCACAGGCTTTCTGCAGCATACCCCTGTCTAGGCACAAGGACGTGATCTTTTGTCTCCACACTCAGGAAGTTTTACCTGTGCAAAGAGAAATTCCTTCCTTGCTCACTTCTGAAAACTTGGCCAGAGAAGCCTTTGGTTTAAAAACAGATAAAAAAATTGTGATCTGAAATGTGCTTGATTAGTTTTGGGTTTGAAATAAAGGACATGTTGATTTCACCAGTGCAGTGACTGGTTTGGGGGGGGTGGTATTTTGGCCTTTCCGAAGTCTATGTAAGTCCATTAGACTCTGAGCTCCTTGAGAGCAGAGAGTGTCTTTGACCTTTTTGTATCCCCAGCGCTTACTGTAGGGTCATCACATAGTAGGCATTTAATGTTTATTGGCGGACTGACCATCCCCACCTGGCACAGACTACCTGCAAGCCCAGGACCCAGGAATCTCACCTGAAAAAGAATACATGCCCTGCTGTTTTTGTTCAGAGAGGAAGAGATTGGCCCCAGGGACTGGGAATGATTTGGGCTCAGAAGACAACCCCCTCGCAAAGTAGCATCCCTGGGGGCAGCTAGGTGGTGTAGTGGATAGAGCACCAGCCCTGGATTCAGGAGGACCTGAGTTCAAATTCAGCCTCAGACACATAACACTTACTAGCTGTATGACCCTGGGCAGGTCACTTAACCCCATTACCTAGACCAAAAAAAAAAAAGTAGCATTCTTATCAATGCCTGAAATTCCACCATTTGGGGAATTGAGCCCTTTGGGTTAAGCATTGTCCTCTCTCTGCAGTTCTTAAAATGCAAATAACTCTTAAAACATTAAGGTATCAAATTTATAAGAATACAAGTCATTCCCCAATTGATAAGTGGTCAAAGGATAAGAACAGGCAATTCTCAGATAAAGAAATTAAAGCCATCTATAGTCATGAAAAAATGCTCTAAATCACTATTGATTAGACAAATACAAATCAAAACAACTCTGAGGTACCACACCACACCTATCAGATTGGCCAGCATGACAAAATAGGAAAATGATAAACACTGGAGAAGATGTGGGGAAATTGGAACACTAATGCATTGTTGGTAAAGTTGTGAAATGATCCAACCATTTTGGAGAGTAATTTGGAACTATGCCCAAAGGGCTATAAAAATGTGCATACCCTTTGACCCAACAATAGCACTTCTAGGGCTGTATCCCAAAGAGATCATACAAATGGGAAAAGCACCCACATGTACAAAAATATTTATGGCAGCTTTTTGTGATGGCAAAGAATTGGAAATTGAGAGGATGCCCATCGATTGGGGAATGGCTGAACAAGTTGTGGTATATGAATGTAATGGAATACTATTGTGCTATAAGAAATGATGAGCAGGCAGATTTTAGAAAAACTTGGAAAGACCTGTATGGACTGATGCTGAATGAAGTGAGCAAAACCAGGAGAACATTGTACACAGTAACAGCCACATTGTGCGATGACTACTATTGATAGACTTAGCCCTTCTCAGCAATGCAAGGATTTAAGACATCTCCAAAGGCCTCCTGATGGAAAATGCTATCCATGTCCAAAGTAAGAGCTATGGAGTTTGAATGCAGATCGAAGGATATTATTTGCTATTTTTTTCCTTTGTTGTATTTTGTTTCCTCTTTCTGGTGGTTCCTCCTATTGGTTCTAATTCTTACTTACAACATCACTAATGCGAAAGTATGTTTAATAGGAATGTATATGTATAGCCTATATCAGATTGTGCGCCATCTAGGGGTGGGAGGTGGGGAGGGAGGGGGAGAAAAATTTAAAACTCAAAAGCTTATGGAAGTGATTGTTGATAAATCAAAATAAATTAATAAAGTAAAAAAAATTAAGGTAAAACATTAAATCCCTAAAATCATAGTTTGAAATTGTTTTAAATCAGAAAGGCAATGTCTTCTAGAGAAAGAATAATGACTTGGGATTCCAGAAGCCGTGGTTCAAGCTTGGCTGTGTGAGTTTGGTCAATACTTTGACCTCCCTCTGCCTCAGTTTCCTAATCTGTAATGAGGGGAATAGGCTTAAGAACCCAACTTAAGAGCCCAAGAACTCTGGGCTTGGTACATGGGAAAGCCAGATTAACAGCTATTGAAATTCTATAGCTTAGTCTTGTTCTATGCCAGGACAATAAGGCACCTTGACAGCACTGAGCCCTGATAGGGGAGTGGTTGGCTTCCTTGCCCAGGATGTCCTCACTCCAGAGCAGACTCTCTCCTGCCCTCCCCATTCTCTGTCCCACATGGCTAGTAACCACCCCCTGAGAGCTGTTACAAGGCCCTGCCAAAGGTTGCTGGCTTCAGGTCGCCAACTTCCCTCTTTATGGCAAAGCCTGGCTCCCTGGACTGATTCATAGGACAGGGCATTTCCCCAAATCCTCTGTGGCTGAGTGTTTCTGGCTCAGCCTCTTCACCAGATTTTTCTTGCCCTGGACAATTCCAGAAAATCTTCCATGAACAGTTTAAATGATGAGATCCTGTTTGTGGGACCTCCAATCATGGGTTTAGAGCCAAGAAGGATCACAGAGGCCCTGGATGAAGAGACTGAGACCCAGGGATGATCAGTGACTCGCCCAGGGTCACTCATCTGTAAGAGACAGTTAGGATTTGAACTTGGGTCGTCTGATAACAAAGCCAGTATCCTTTCTACTCTATTGTACTGCCTTACCATATTGCCAATGGCCTGTCCCTGTAAAGCCCATTGTGCCTTTTTTTCATGTTTTCAGTGACTTGGCTTTCATGCCTTCGCCGTCCTCAGGTGCTTCCTTGGAGTATGGAAGGGACCTTGGGTCCTTAAAAGCTGTGCAGGGGTGGGGTGGGGGGCAGTTGTCAAGCAATGGTTGGTCCAACCAAGCCGCCAAGGCTGTGAGTACAGACCTGATAGGGAGAGAAGGGAGGGCAGAGAAGAAAAAAGGAAAGGAGGGATGGAGGGAGAGAAAGAGGAAGGAAGGAAGGAAAGGCCAGAGAGAAGAAGAAGTAAGAGTTTATTAAGCACTTCCTACATCCCAAGTCCTCTGCTGAAGCTAAAAACAGAAAAGCAGACAATCCCTGCGGTCCTGGGGCTCCATTCTCACAGGGGGAAGTGCCACGTACAGGAGAGTGAGGCAGCGGCAAGGACGATGGAAAGGCCCTAGTGGTCCTTAGGGGACAGTTGTGAAGCTCAGGAAGGCATCTTTTGTGTCACTTCCCAAGGTAACAAATCCGTAACCATTCTAATGCTGAGCCATTTGACAGTGCCAACGATTTGGGTGGCAAGAACTTTCTGAGTGGTCAGTAGCAGTGGCTGCTGAGGAGGTGGCAGCACCTGCAGAGGCAGCGACCAGGTGACATTTCCACTAGGGCTGCTCCCCTGGATGATGCCTTCAGAGGCTGGGATGGAAGCAGGGCCCGTACCCCAAGTCCCAGAACTGGTTCCTCCCAGCCAGCTGCAGCTAACCCCTCCTTGCTGGCAACCTCATGGGAAAATCAGGAAAGTAACAAGGAGGAAGGCCCCTCTGAAACTGTTTCCCCTTTGCTCTCGGACAGTCTTTGGAGATTGGCTCTACTCCTGAGGAAAGGGCAGGGAATCTCTCTCCAGGCTGCTGTACTTCTCAGCTGAGTTGAAGATGCAGCCACTGGTAGTGTGACTGGGGATGATTGAACCATCCAGCGGCCCAGGCCCCAATGTAAGACTGTGATTTGTACAGCAGGTCCTGATCTGCCTTATAGGCCACTAGCTCCAGAGATGGGAGGAGCTGTAGAGGACCTGAAGGCCAACCTCTCACTTTACAGTTGAGGAAAAAACTCCAGAGAGGTAAATGGCCACCCTAGTCCGCCAGGGGAATCGGCAGAGCCAAGCTTTGAAGTCAGGTTCTCTCGTTCTGAACTCGGCACGCTGTCCACTAGCATACTTTGCGTCTAACCCACCTGTGAAATCATCTCCAGACCCCAATATTTCTGCACCACACCCATAGCAAGTTATTGGTGAGTGGTGTATCTCCCTAAGAAATGGTGAATACGGAGAATTCAGAAAAGCGTGGTCCTAAAGAAGAGGCAGAGAAGACACCTCCCCTCCCCTTGCTCCTTTGCAGAAGTGAGGGCCATGGGAATGCACACGCCGTATAACATCAGACCTTTGTGATGTCTTAACTAGTTTTGTTTCTCTTTTGCTTCTTTCTTTAAAAAAGAGTCTGTATTCATCATACTGTTTCTTACAACACTATAATATTTCATTGCATTCGTGTACCACAGCTTATTTAGTCATTTCCCAGTCAATCTCTGATTGTTTTCTAAAGAAAAAGAAAAATGAAGCTGGTTCCTCACCCCAGTAGCAAATGTGCATCTCATTTGTTTCCTTGTTTGTTATGCAACAAATTCTTTTGGTTTATGAAAATTCAAGGAGAGTTGCATAAGTTAGAATTGTCTGTATTTATGGAAACTCAGATCCTGGAGCCCCATAACCTCCACAAAGCTTTCCCAGGCTTATCACCTCCAAAAAGAGGTGATAACTACCCCCACCCACCTCACTCTATCTGATGACAGCTTCTGTTTCTCTTAGTGATGTATGTTTTCCAAAGTACTTCCCTCCTAACAGGTCTGTGATGCAAGTAGTACTAGGATTATCATCTGCATTTTATAGAGGAAATTGAGGGGGGGTCAGAAAGTTGACATGACTTGCCCAAGGTCACACAGCTAGCACACAATGGAGCCAGGACTAGTATCTACAGACCGCACTGGACAAAGAATCATTGCGACCTGTAGGTGTCAAAGTTGACTCACTGGACCTCCCTGCAGGTAAAGGGCTGACCACCATGCCTACCTATTCCTGTGGCAGGGTGGCTGGAGGCAGGATTTTCTTGTAGTTTACCCCACTTTCCTTTGGACAAGGGGTGGAGATTTTGCTATGCTCTTCTCTACTCTTCCTTTCTTTCTAGATTAGGACTGGATTTCTTAGCATCACAGTGTTACTGTAAGCTGATGACTCTGGAGGTATAAAAGGAACCCCAGATTTCATTAGAAAGTCTGCCTTTAGGAAATTTAGAGACTGATCAATAAAATGATGGTTAGCAGCGCTTAGCCAAGCTGGAAAAGGAAGCTTCCCACTGGCCAAATTCTTTGTGGCCAAATGGTCAGTGGCTTCTGTAATTGCAAGTAACACACAAGAAATGCACATTTCTCAGTTGACCATAGATTTATGTGGAGAAAGAACAAAACTAATATATAG